AAACCAGAACAAGACAAGGATGTCCATTATCAAAACTACTTTTCAATAATGGAAGTTTTAGCAAAGGCAAATAGGCAAGAGAAGGACATACATAGGACATAGATAGGAAGCCAAATAGGGAAGAAGCAGTAAAATTATCCTTATTTGGAGATGACATGGTAATACACAGAGAGAATCTTGAAAAGTATGAAAAAAAAATTGAGACAATAAACCAGTTTAGAAAAGTAGCATGTTGTCAGGTCAATACACAAGAGTCAGTAGCATTCCTATATGCAGTCAGTCTGTAGGGGAAGAAATTAAGAAAACCATCCCACTTACAGTCTCAGCCAAAACAACAACAACAGCAGCAAAGGGAATAAACCTAACAAACAAGGTGAAAATTGTATACAAAGAAAATCACAAAGCACTGTTAAAAAAAAAAAGAAACAAAACAGAAATGGTAAGACAAGAAGACATTCCCTGCTCCTGGATTAGATAAATTAACATGATCAAAATGGCTGTTCCATCAAGATCAAATTACAGATTCAATGTAATTCCAATAAAAGTCTCAATAACATTCTTTAGCAAAATAGGATATTGCTGAAATTCCTATGGAATCAGAAAAAAATGATGAATAGCCAAAACTCTTGACTAAAAGGAGGAAGAAAAGAGGTATATAATCCTAGAATTCAACCTACACTACAAAGCCATAATAATTAAGCAGCACAGTCCTGGAACAAAAACAGACACACAGACCAATGGAATCAAATTGAAAACACAGACATAAAGCGCAACATATAGGGACAACTAGTCTATGACAAAGGAACAAAGAATATGTAATGGACCAAGGATAGTCTGTCTAATAAATGGGGTTAAGAAAACTGGACAGCCACATGCAAAAGAATGAAACTAGATTACTACATCACACCACACACAAAAATTAGCTCAAAATGGATAAAATACTTGAATGTAAGCCTGAAACCATACAAAGTATAGAAGAAAATATAAGCAAACACTCCATGACATACATCTTAGAAACATTTTCAAAGAGTCATCCCAGGAAGCAAAGAAAATTAAAAAAATGATAAATAGCTGCGACTACATCAAACCCCAAAAAGCTCTGTATAGCAAAAGAGACAATAACCAGGATGAAGAGACACTCTATAGATTGGGTGAAAATATTTGCACTCCACACAACTGGTAAGGGACTGATATCAATGATCTACAAAGAGGTTACACAACACAACAATAACAAAGCAAAAAAAAAATTCAATCAAAAAATGAGCTGAAGAGTTAAAAAGACATTTTTACAAAGAGGACATGCAAATGAACAACAGTGATATGAAACATTCTTAACATCACTTATAACCAGGAAAATGTAAGCCAAACCATAAGATACCACTGCACACAAGTAGGAATGGCACATATTTAAAAAACAACAAATGCTCATGGGGATGCAGAATACTGGCAGGCCCTTAAATTATTAAAAATGGAGTTACATCACAGAAATTTCAGTCCTAGGAGTATATCCAAAGTACCCATAAACATTAATTTGGAAGGAAAACTTTACTTCTCTGTTTATTGAAACACTATTTACAGTAGCTAAGATATGGAAGCAACAGATAACTAGATCAACAAGATATGGTGTGTGCATGTGTGTGTGTGTATGTATATATATATAAGTATATACACACACACACACATATATATATATCCATATATATATATATCACACACACATACACACACACATATATATATATATATATATCTCCACTGTACACACACATATCCATTCTATCCTTGGGCATTTAACTGGCTATTATAAATAGTACTGCAATGAGCACAGGCATACATATATCCCTCTGAATTGTTAATTGCTGTTTTGGAATTGGGTAGATACATAAGACTGTAGTAGCTGGATAATTCAGAATAAACTGAAAACATAAGCTACTATAGTGTATTGTTATAGAAAATAAAACTAGGATATATCACAAAAATTAAATACTCTCAATATGACTGGGTTTTATTGTTTCCAGAAAGGGCTTCAAATAAAGCAGCCAAAAGAGCAGAAGTAATTATAGTAACAATATCTTGGACAGGAGGCGCACTGTCAGGATAAGGAGGAAATCTCTCATTGAATCCTTATCAAGGTTCTATCCATACCCTAAGAGGTGATGGAGGTAGTTCAAAATCTAACAGGGGAAGTTACAAACTAAGCAGTGAATAAATATTCATATAGTCACTGTGTGTGACTATCGAAAAAAAATAGAAAATAAAAGGTATGGAAGGAGATAGTGTACAATTTTAGATATAAACCCAAAGAATGTCTCTTTAGAAAGAAATGTCTAAAAGTAAAGGCCTACTGGTGATAAAAGAATGTAGCAAATCACACAGATATGTGATGAGGTGGTACAGAGGATCCTAGCAGCAGGAGCAGCAAGAACCAGGCCTGGAAATGAGAGTGCTGTGGAATGTTTGAAAATGAGTGGACCAGAGTAGATTGTAGGATGGCTAAAATAGAGGTGAGAGAAGAGATCTCAGAGCTCTGGAGGGGCTTTAATTGAGTGTGGTGAGCAGCTCCAGGGAAGTAAGGAGCCATAAATCAATATAATACATTGAATTTTCATAGCTTCACTCATCCTAACACCTTAAGTAGGGACAGAGGGAAGGCAAGGAACGAAGTAGGGATGTATTGGAAGAGACCATTGCAATAATACAAAAGAGAGATGATGATTATCTGAAAGGGTCTTGACAGCTGAGGTAAAAAGAAGTGATGGGCTCTAGTATGGATATGGAAGTGGCACTGCCAGGATGTTCCCTTGTTTAGAGGGAGGATTATCAACAAAGGAGGAGTTGAGAACATATGGAAAAACTGCAAGAAGGCTGTTCCTTTCCTGAGAAGGGGACGTGGGTGGAAAGGAGGATGAGGTGTGTGTTTGTGTAGTGGAGGGGAGGGGAGCAGAAACTTAATCCTGACTTTACATCAGCAACTAGGGGGGAGTTGTGGGAATCAGTAGGGAACTCAGGTCTGGAGCTCAGGCAGCAGCTTGAGCTGTAGATAGGTCAGGAATCATTAGTGTACAGTGTGTTTTTAAACTATCAGATGAAAGAAAATCACCAAGGGGGTAGGAAGTGAAGGAGAAGAGAGAAAAGAGAAAAGGTCTATGACTGAACCTACAACACTTCAGTGCTGAGAAGCCAGAGCAAGGTATGAAGATAGATGCAAAGGAAATGAAATAAACAGAAGTGAGCACCGTGAGGGAAAAAATGTGACTTGCACATGAGTGACCACAGGAGGAGGTCATCGCTGACAGAGGAGTGAGATGTGTGCAGAGTACTGGAACTAAGCATGAATGAAAGGGCTTAGCAAAGAAAGAGAGAGAGGAACAAATTGGACAGTGTCTCAACTCCTCAAAGTATTTGCTGTCAAGGAAAGAAGACTGAACTAGTAAGAAGGATGTTAGTTAGGATGAATTTTTTTTTTTAAAGATTTTATTTCTTTATTCGTACAGAACTGGGGTATGGGCCAGAGATGCGGAGGGTGAGAGGATTCACCAGAGACAGAGTGGGGAGCAGAGCAGGCAGGTCGATGAAGGGGAGCAGCGGGTGGGTCAGGAGAGGTCTGCAGCACCATGTGGATCTCCTCCCGGGCAGGCAGGGCGTGAACTCATGCGGAAGTGGCTTAAGCTTCTTTGTGCTGTGCTTTAACCCGCAGTGCCACCACGGAGGGCCAGGTTAGGATGAATTTTTAAAAATGCACTAATTGAGTGAAAAATAATGGCATTGTTGTGCACTGACAGGAAGTTTCAGAGAATTAATAACACTGTATTCTGGAGTATGTTACACAGAGTGACAATTAGTTATTTGAACATTATTCCTTGTACCCTCAAACTAAACATATAAGAATACTGTCAACTGAAGAACAGATAAAGAACATAAATAGATACAATGGAATATAATGTACTGATGAAAATGAATAAAATGCTAAATGCAACCAAACTGGTGAATTTTACAAGCATAGAATTAAGCATAATATTAAGTTGAAGTAGCCAGGCAAAAGAGAATGATTATATGATTATAGTATAGAAAAATTTCCAGAACTAGTTTTTGGGATGTTCTAAAACATTCAAAGTACTCTACTGTGTAAGTCAGGATCGTGATCTCCAAGGGAAAAAGGGAGGGAGAAAATGGATGAGAGATAGAACAGTTCCAGATATAGCCTGCATTCTATCTCTATTCTGTGAATTATATATTCATTTTGTGATTATTTTTATATGTATACATATAGCCTGTGTATTATATAATTATACTATTCACTAAAAAAGTATTAAAAATATTTAATAAAAAGTTAAGTGGTAAAAGTGATAAGGATCTTCAGTCTATTAATGGCAGAGTAAATAGAGACCGATGTCACAGATTATGGACACAATAAAAAAGAATCCTCTCTAGAAGGGAAGTTGTAACTTAAAGTAAATTGTAAGTTGATTTGAATTCTACAAACTTAACACATGGATGCAACTTTTAAAAACTGACAATAAATTAATAGCTCTTAAAACAAAATTACTCAAACTTTCCCTCAAAAGTAGTATGATTTTCTTCTTTGTGGTGAAAATTAATGTCTCATGCAGAATAAAAGCAGGCATAATATCATTCAAAACACTTCTGATATACCAATGAACCCATAATATCACATCCTATTATGTTTTAATTCATGTTTTTTTCTCCTTCAAAGTGACTAGCAAAGAAATAGGATGTGTATAGTCTGCTGTCACATAATGACAGTATTGAATTAATTTCTAAGGTGGATAAATACAAATAGGCAGAAGTCTTAATTATGACTGTTGTTTCTCCCCACCCCAAATTATCAAAAATGTGCTGCCAGAACTAATCCTGGCTACTTGCCCTGGAATTTCACTATAATAAGTTGACAAAAATGTTCTAATGTTCTTGATAAAAATATCTTTTGAGACAAACTCTCAGTTGGATACTGACTGCTGGAAGCAGTTCTTTGAACTCACCAGGGAGGGTAAATATGGATGATGTCTTGAGGATGGCCCCTGAGATAGCCTGCTGTCTCCTTGGTGAAGAGCACCTTCAGGCCAATTTTGGGGGCCTCACCTTGGGAAGTGCTGCAGGCCTGAAGCTCCACTAACTGCTCACACATGGCAACTTGGATAGTGCATTCTTCATGCAGCTCAAGAATTCTCACCATTAATAAGCCAGATTTTCTACCTAGAAAGTGGAGGGAAAAAAAAAAAAGGCAAAAGAAGTTTAAAAAGGATATAGTGTAAATGTGACTATGGTGCATGAAAAAAAAAAGTCATGAAGTTTCAGGTTTAAACAGCTTTCTTTCTTTACTTGGTGATAGCAGCTTGTAATACAAAAGAAAATTAGAGACCTGCATCTGCTCATTGTTAACACCACTTGAAAAATCGAATTAGTCTGCAAGTTACATAAAGTACATGTAGTTTATGCAAAATAGTCTCTATCATAAATACTCATGAGCGTATGGAAGACTTAGACCCATCATTTCACAAACCATTTGTCTTCTGCAGTGAACTCCTCTGATAAACTCAACAAAGCGAATATGGCCACTTGTTCGACTTCTTTCATTACGTGTTGCTCCTTCTTTCTTACAGGCCCACTGCATCTCATTACCTGCTTTGATTCTCTGCTTTCAAATGATCATCTCATTGGCTAGTTGCAAACTGCTCCAGTGATCATAAGGCTGAAATCTGAAGATTGATGTGGAATGCTAGAATATTAAATTTAAATGGGTGGCTATGGATTTGAATACCAGTTCTTTATTATAAAGTTGGCCAAGTCACAGAGCATTTTAATACCTCATTTTTCTTATTTGTGTACAAAGAGATCATATCACCTGCTTCAATGGAAACTTTAAGAATTATATAAAATGGAGAGTGTATGTAGGTTATAACCCAAAAATCATAGCTATGTACGTCACAGAAACTGTCCCATGCATCATACACATCTCACCACTGTGTGTATCAGCAGAAAGCTGGACCCAGCATAAATCAATAGGAAAATGGGTAAAATCAAGGTATGTTTCTACATTACAGTACTATCCTGATACAGTATTTATAAAAGGGCTGGGCCAGTTTACATTGCCACCAACAGTGTAAAAGAGTCCCATTTTCTTTAATCCCTGATGGTTTTGTTTGTGGTCATTTCAATGTAGGCCATTATCATAGATGTGAAGTGGCATCTCACTGTATATTTTTTTTTAGATTTATTTATTTATTCATACATAACTGGGGTACAGAAATGGGGCCAGAGATGCGGAGGGTGAGAGGATTCACCAGGGACAGAGATGCGGAGGATGAGAGGATTCACCAGGGACAGAGTAGGGAGCAGAATAGGCAGATCAACGAAGTACACTGCTGAGGGGAGCAGCGGGCGGGTCAGGAGAAGTTTGCCACACCATGTGGATCTCCTTCGGGGCAGGCGGGAATCGAACTCATGCGGAAGTGGCTTAAGCTTCTTAGTACAGTGTTTTAACCCACTGCGCCACCAAGGAGAGTCTCACTGTATTTTTGATAATCAAGTCCGTGAACATTTTTTATGTGCCTGTTTGCCATCTTTCTGTTTTCTATAGATAAGCATCTGTTCAGCTCTTCTGCCCATTTTCTATTTATTTAATTTTACATCATTCTTCATTTTGTTCATTTTTCCATATCGGTTGTAATCCCTGTGGACTTCCCATCATCAATTCACCCGTGTGCTGTCACCATAGTCCCATGCACCTTTCCACCCTATTTTTGATCCCATTCCCCTTTCCACCTCCTCAAAATGTCACTGATATATAACTGTTCATTGTTTTTCTTTTTTTTTTATTACAATTGCTTTTTTATATTTCCTGATCCCTTACACTCCTGCTATGAGTGAAATTGTCCAGTACTTTTCTTTTTCTTTCTGGCTTATTTCACTAAGCATGATCCCTTCCAGCTCCATCCATGTTGCTGCAAAAGGCATGAGTTTATCTTTTTTGATTGCTGGGTAATATGTACCACATCTTTTTAATCCAGTCATCTTCTTTTGGGCATTTTGGGATTCCATGTGTTCCCTATTGTAAATAGAGCAGCAATAAACATGGGGCTGCTTCTGCCCATTTTCTGACTGATATATATATATATATATTTTTTGAGTTGTGTGTTTCTTTGTAGATCTTTAATATCAGTCCTCTGTCAGATGTATGGTGTGCATATATTTTCTCCCAATCAACAGGGTGCCTTGTTATAGTTATGATTGCTTGCACTTTGCATAAGCTTTGCAGTTTAATAGAATTCTAATGAGTTCTCTTTTGTTTTCTTTGGAGACAAATATCTAAGCACATCACTGAAATTTATGTGATTAAGTGTTTTGCCTATTTTTCCTCAGGGTACTTTATGGTTTCAATGCTTGTATCAAAATCTTTTAGCCATACTGAATTCATTTTTGTGTGTGGTGTGAGACAGTAGTCTAGATTCACTCTCTTGCATACATGGCTTCCAGTTTTCCTAACACAATTAATAGAAGTTATCCTAGTCTCAGTGTATGTTCTTGGTCCCACTGTAATAGATTATGTGTCCATATAGGTTTGTGTTTTCAGTTTTTTTCCACAAGTATATATGTGTGTCTGTTTTTGTTCCAGTGTCATGCTGTTTTGTTATGGATTTATACTATAGTTTCAAATTTGAAACTATGGTTCCTCACTTCTTTTCCTGGATTGCACTGGCTACTCAGTATCTTTTGTAAATCGGTATGAAATTTTGTAGTTTGTTCCAGTACTTTGAAGAATACCATTAATATTTTGTACTGGGATTGACTGAATCTATATATTACTTTGGGTGGAATGGTCTTTTTGACAATGTTTTTATGACAGTCCATGAACAGGAAATCTTTTTTATTTCTTTGTGTCTTCTAACAATGTTTTTGTATCATTCTTTTACTTCCTTTATTAGGTTTATTTCTAAGTATTTAATTTATTTTTTACAGTTAATAAGAAATCATTTGCTATATTTCTTATACCCCTAGCTCACTGTTTGTATACAGGAAGGCTACTGCATTTTTTTGTGTGTGCAATTTATCCTGAAACTTTTATTAAATTGATTGTCTCAATGACTTTTTCTACGGGTTATTTGCAAATTTTACTTCTTTCCCAATTTGGGAAAGGAATTCAATTAGGATTCCTTTTATCTCTTCCTAAGTCCAAATGTTCTATATGTTAAATAGTAGCAGAGAAAGTGGCCACCTTGTTTTGCACCAGATTTTAGTAGAAAGCTTTTAGCTCTTCACCATTGAAAATGATGATAGCTATGGGTTTATTTTACATGGTTTTTATTATGTTTTGTAAATGTCAAAGAAATTAAGAATGATTTTTCTCTCATTCTACTTTATTTTTCTAAAACATAGAACTAGTTAGAAATGCAAAGAAGTGTATCAGTGAAGAAATGGACTTCAGTGAGGTCTGTGCTGTCTGCATAGCACTGAACATAAGGCAAAGGGCTACAGAGATGAAAATGGAAAACATATAACTGTTAACACAAAACACCAGAGGCTTTAAATGATTAAGAAATAGGAACAGGGCCCTCCCTGGTGGTGCAGCAGGTTAAAGCACAGCATTCTGAAGTTAAAGCCAATTCTTTCTTTTTATATAATAGTTTATTTTTACATTATTTTGTACATTTTTTTCATCTCAACTTTAATCCCCGAGTGTTTCCTATCACTAAGTCACCCATGTGCCATCACCATAGTCCAATGCACTTCCATCCCCCACCGTTTTTGATTCCATTCCCCACTCCACCCACATAAAATGTCTCTGGTATATGGTTGTTCATTATTCTTATTATTTTCTTGTCTGGTCCATTATACTCCTGCTATGAGCAAAACCATCTGGTATTGTTCTTTTTCTTTCGGGTTTAACTCACTATGCATTATCTCACTACGCATGATCTCCTCCAGCTCCATCCATGTTGCTGCAAAAGACATGTGTTTCGTTATTTTGGTTGCTGAGTAATATTCTATTGTGTATATGTACCACATCCTTTTAATCCAGACATCTACTTTTGGGCATTTGGGCTACTTCCTTGCTTTTCCAATTGTAAATAAGGCAATAATAAACAGGGGTGTGCAGGTATCTTTTAGAATCAGTGCTTTTGTGGCTTTTGGGTAGGTACCTAGAAGTGGATTGCTGGGTAATAGGGAAGCTCCATGTTAAGCACTTTGAGGGACCTCCAAACAGTTTCCCATGCTGGTTGTACTAGTTTGCATTCCCACCAGCAGTGCAGGAGAGTTCCTTTTTCTCACATCCTCGCCAACATTTGTTGTTGCTAGTTGTTTGAAGATGTGCCATTCTCACTGGGGTGAGGTGGTAGCTAATTGTGGTTTTAATTTGCATCTCCCTTACTACGAGTGATGTTGAACATTTTTTCATATGCCTGTTGGCCATCTGCATTTCCTCTTTGGAGAAGTGTCTTTTTAGCTCTTCTGCTCATTTTTTGATGGGGTTGTTTATTTTTGTTGAGTCTCATCAGTTCTCCATATATTTTTGTGATCAGTCCTTTATCACTACTTTTGTGTGAGAAGTGTGAGAAAATGTTTTCCCAATTAGTGGGCTGTCTGTTTGTTTTTTGTAATGTCTCTTTTGCTGTACAGAAGCTCTTTAATTTGACGTAGTCCCATCTATTTATCCTTGCCTTCACTATCGTGGCAGTGGGTGCTCTATCTTTAAAGATGTCACTGAAGTGTATGTTGTGTAAAGTTTGGCCCATCTTTGCTTCCAAGTATTTTATGGTTTCCTTTCTTATATCTAGGTCTCTAATACACTTCAAGTTGATTTTTGTGAACAGAGTGAGGTAGTGATCTAGTTTCATTTTTTTGCATGTAGCATCCCAGTTTTCCCAGCAGCATTTGCTGAACAAACTTTCTTTGTTCCATTGTATCTCCTTTGCTCCTTTGTCAAAAATTAGCTGTCTATAAACTTGTGGATTTCTATCTGGGCTTTCTATTTGAATCCACTGGTTGTACATCCATTCTTGTTCCAGTACCATGCAGTTTTGATTATTATGGCTTTGTAGTATACCTTGAAGTTTGGGATTGTGTCTAGTCCAAACAGTCCCTCCCTGAGCAGTGCCTCCCCACTGCCTGAGGACCTCTAACAGAGCCCAGCTGTATCTCTTTAATTCCAGGGTTTTACCGTAGTTTTTGTGGATAGATGCGATAAGCCGGTAGAC